TCAGGGATGAGAGCTCCAGGCTCTCTGAGCTGCAGATATGCTGGGAAAGGGGGTCACTGGGTGGTCCTTTGGTCATATTTATTTTCTGTTTTTTTTTCTTGTGGGTGTCTCTTTCTTTACCCCCTCCTCAGCCCTGCTCTCCAGTAAGAGGCCCAGTTTCTACTGAAAATGGAAACCACAGAGGTGGTCCACCAGAGAGTCCTTGTGAGCCTTTCTTTGAAGGGCTGAGAGAGCAGCGGGGGACTGGGATTGTGCTGATGTTTGTGGGCTGTTACCTCCTGGCTTGAGGAGTCGCCCCCACCTCCTGACCATCTTGTACAATACCCCACCTGCTTGAGCACCTGCTGAGGGCCAGGCTGTGGCCCCGCCCACTTATGCTCCCACTCACCAGTAATCTTAGGGGAGATTTCTGTGAGATTCTAGGAAAGGGAAAGTCAACCCTGAGGCAGGAGATAGGTTGATGTTTGCCTAGAACTGTGGGGAGGAAATTTTTGAGGCGATGGGAATATTCTAGATCTTGATTGTCATAGTGGTTACATGGCCTCCGCCTTCTCTTTTTGTCAGAGGCCAGTTATATACTTCCTCTGGTTTTGCTGTTGCTGTTTTGTTTTTGAGACAAGTCTTTCGTAGTCTTTCTATCCATATCCCAGGATAGCCTGGGACACTATCTTCTCACTATGCTGAGTTGGCTGTTCTCCAGCGCTTTAAAATCTTCCGGCTTCTCCCTCCTTCATCCTGGTAATTACAGTCATGTCCCACTACACCTGGCTTGTGCTTCTTCCTGATGCGGCGTTAATTGAAAAACAAACCTTGGCACTGGGGATACAGCTTCGTTGGTGGGGTGTTTGCCTGCCACGCACACAGCCCTGGGTTCAATCCCTAGCACCACATAAAACTGGGAGTGTAATTCCTCACCTGGGAGGTAGAGGCAGGAGAATCAGAAGAAGTACATGGTCCTTCTTGGCTCCATAACTACTTCAAAGCCAGTCTGGGCTCCAGGGGACCTTGTATAAAAAAGAAACAGGAAGTCTGCGAACCTATTAGCAGCAGTAGCTGCGCCCGGGCGGTGGTCAGACAAGCACTGTGTGCTGATTCTGAGCCAGGCAGGCTCCTGGAGACTTCCTGTGAAGCAGCACTCCCAGGAAGATTCAGTGGGCATTCACAGTGAGGCTGGCGGCTCCCTAGGGCTGGGGTCTGCTCTGTGCAAAGAGGGCTGGCTCTTCCTTCCTAGGATGCAGGTCCCTCAGTTATAGTTGCCTCAGAGGCTTCTCTTTCATTGCAAACCTGTAGTCTGACAGCTTGCAAAGAGAGAAGGATTAGTTACCAGGGAAACTGAGGCCCTGGTAACCTGTAAGGAAGATACATAGAAGGTGAAATCTGGGCAGAACTCTGACCCTGTTTTTACCTAAATTTTTGATGTTCTGTTAGAGATAGACTTCTTGTGTTAATAATGTTGGTGGTTTTAAAATACTGCATTAAAATATGATAAATCTTGGTTACTGGGAACCCTTTTATACTGTACAGCCTGAATGATTACCTCCCTTACTCACGCTCATCCAGCCTTGAGGGCAAAACAGGAGGAAAGAAGCAGTCTTTAGTTCCTAAACACGGGCAGCAGTTAAATCAACCTGCTGCAGGCCTGGGGCTGGGGTGAAAGGGCTGGCATCATAGCTGCCAGGGTGAATGGAGTAGAAGACACCTGCCCTCCACTGGAGCTGGGCGAGAGGAAATGGGAGGGAGGTGCCCTGGGCCTCAGGGGTAACTCCCAGTGACCCACTCCCTTAGGGTGGGCTTACTGTCTTCTCTATGTCCTGCTTGGCCTCAGGCCTGGAAGGAATCCCATTGTGCTGAGTGGTAGAGAGCAGAATTGGGGTGCAAAGAAGAAAGGGTACTCAGGGGTCCCAAGGAAGGTACTGGGGAGGAGATTCCATGGTGAGGTTCCCCAAAGAAGAGCTTTACCCAAAGTGGGACCAAGATAGTGACAAGGTTAAGAACAGGATGGCACATAGAGTGCTGTGTCACATTGGATAGAACCCTGAAGCTCCCAGAGCTGGGAGCAGTTTCCACACAGCACTGAGCTTTTCTCCATTCCTCCTGCCAGAAGCCACGAGCTCTTTGCCTCGATGACATGGTTTTTATGTAAAACCTCCCTCCAGCCCTACACAAAATGAGCCAGAGGTAGGGAACGTCCAAGTTAAGATGGACCCCGTATCACTCAGGGTTCCCATCATTGCCTAGGATCCCCACTCAGGGAGTGAAAGAAAGTACTGCTGAGAGCCTCCAGGAGAGAGAAGTCAGGCCTGCCGGGCATCCCTCCAGAAAGCAGCTAGGGAGCTTAAGGAGGGAAAGGGAAAGGCCAGGCCGTGGGAGACAGGATTGGACAGCCAGGTGGGAGGGCACAGAGCCAGGGCTCTAGGAAAGAGCAGATCCCGACCAGGGTCATGTATGGAAGTCCAAGCAGGGGCAGCTTCAAGGCCGGCTCTGCAGGAGGAAGGGTCTGAGTCTTGCCCAGACAGCCGAAAGCCTTCCTCTGAAAGGAGGAAGACTACCAGTGAAGTCTCACATGCCTTGGTGTGCCGAGCCACAGCACAACACCGTGTTCTCCTCTGCAGTGGTCTGCTGCTCCCATGCCTGTCCCACCCGGACCCCAGAAGCCTGAGGATCAGTGTTCTGTGCTTACTGAATCCACTCGGGTGGGGACTCTGTAGGGGACACAAAGCTTGGTTAGCAAGGACTCTGTACAGGAAACCAAGGAAAAGCTGACACTGCTTCAAGGCTGTGTTCTTGGGTCCTGTGTGTCATCACTGATTTCCAGACGGCATGCCCACAGACTTCCGAATGCTGTTAGTTTTTCCCGTGACTTGCTCAGAACCCCCATGTCTGAGCTCTTTCCAGAGGTTGGGGAGGCCTGGACTGAAAAGGGCAAGTGACCTGCCTGAAAGGCTGAGTGGAGACTGCCAGTTCTGGCCTCTGGATGCCAAGGCTCAAGCGGAGTCTTGTAGTTCACTGGTACCCAGAGGGGGCCTCCTTAGGAGAGGGGAGAAGGAGGATCCAGGACACAAGGCCAGCTTGTGCCCGGACCTGGATGGCCCGAGCGTAGACAGTAAGAGGGAGTGGACCAAGGCTAAGTTCTGCTGTCTTGGAGAGCAGCCAGTGAAGTAGCACACCCAAGTCAGAGGTGTCTTGGTTCTCTGCCTGGACCTTCCAGCAGTTTTCCCATGAGTCTCTATGTCTTAGATTTCCCTAAACATCTTAAACTGGAGCAGTTTCCACATCCGCTCATGTAAATGAGGGTAAGAGCCAGCCTCAGACTTGACCCTACCGGGTCATTCTTGGCCACTCCTCAGGCCATCCATCCCCAGACTCCTCCATCCCTTCCTGTCTTGCTTTCCTCTGACTTGCCACCGCCCGATGCCCGACTTCTCCGTTGGTTTGCTGAGTTTCATCGGCCTCCCCCCAGTCAGTGCTGGTACTAAAGGTCTAGGGGTCCAGGCCTGTTGGGCTCCTAGGACTACATGGAAACCAAGAAGTTATAAAAGAGGCAAAAATAAAAACAAGGAGAGAGTTTTATTCAGGTGCAGAATCATTGCACGTGGGAACACAGACCCAGTTGGGGAATCCATGGTGCGCCTCAGAGTTGGGGCAAGACTGGGGCTTTGTCACAAAAGGAGCATTCCTGGAGGAGATAAGTGGGGTGGAGGCAACCTTGGCTGGAAACTGGAGCAGACTAGAGTGGTCATGATTTTTAAGTTTTATTCTCAATGGACCAGTTGAAGCAAACTGGTCAATCTAGTATTTCTCAACCCTTGCCAAGGATTGTTAGATTTCGGAAATCAGTTCCCTCTATCAGATTCGGTTCCTGCTCTGGTGTCTTTGTGGTAATTTGCTGACACAAAAATCCCCAAAGAGTAGGAAAGGATTTTGGTTCAGTTTTGACCATTCTGCAGCCACACTGGTTTTCACGAAGTTGCTGGAGCAGGGCCAGGCACGTCACAGGTACTCTTAAATGCTTGTCACGTGAATGAATGACAGATACGTGAAGCTTGTCATGGGTGCTGGTATCTTACTGCTGATGCTGCTGCAGTTTGCTCCCTGTGAATTCTGCAGAGTCCCTAGGCGTTCTGACCATCAGCCTTCCCATCTGTAAAATGAGAGAAGGAATTGTCAGAACATCTCTGAGCATTCTAAATGATTAAATCTAGAGCATTCTTCCCAAAGTCCATCTAACGCCTCTTCTCCCACAGTTCTTAGTACAGCTACTCTAGGGTTAGGACACGTGTCTCTTCCTGTTTCTTTAGCCTCTGACGATCAGAACGGAGCACAGGATAGCTGTGAGTCAGCTTAATATTACCTGGACCGGTTTCCATCCACATTCTTACATGTTTTATGCTAATTGACTTTGGTATAGTTCATAATATTTTATTGCTGTCAATGGATGTAATTTGTTATGTGCACAATTCAAAACCACCCAATTTCAATTTTTTTGTTAAGTGTTTTTATAAAAATAAACGGAATTCAGAAAAACATAAAAGTCCATCTCATGTGCCAAGATTTGGAATTTGAACATTGGGGCATTTGGAAATGAACAAACACACTGTGAGGACAGAGCCATCCCTGGTGGGCTCAGGTGCACATACTTTGAGGGTTTCACGGTGCTTCCTACAATCTCAGAGTCTGTCTGGTACCCTCTGGGAAGGACAGTGAACAGGACCCCATACACCGAGGCTCCACACAAACCCTGGTGGTGGCAGTTTCAAGAGCCTAGGTATTAGCTGAGTAACAGGGATGGCCTGGGATGGGGCTGAAGGACAGGTCTGGCAAGTTCTAGGTTGTTTATACCCGAGATTACTTCACACATCCAACCAGCTTCCCCGCCCCATCGGCTGGGGGCCGGCCCTCAGTCCTCAGTTCCCTTTTCTCCACATGCTGGAGGACCTGGGGGCCAACATGGATCTTCCCCTTGACATCAGCTGAGCCTGGAAGACACATTCTCTTAGACCATGGACAGAGGCGGCCACCCGGTAAGTGCACCAGCATCTCCCAGGCTCTCCCAGCAGTGGCAGCCTGGAGACAGGCGAGGCACTGCCAAGGCCTGCCCTGGGTTTAGGGAGAATAGGATGCCTCTTCTCACTAGAAGCTGCCCGGGACCCGGAGATCTCAACCCCCTTTTATCTTCATCCCTAGAAGGAGCCCTAGGAGGAGAAACCCACAAAATATGGGGTCTGGTTACTAGGCACCTCAGGGCTGTGTGGCTGAGGCTCGGACAGGGCTTGGCCTGGGCCCTGGTAAAGACATTGCTGCTGTTCCGTGGTCAGCTTTGCTGGCTGGAAATCTGATTTAATCTAAGTTATTTTTTGCTGGTTTGGGAACCAAGAATATTGAACTCGTCTTCAAGGATTACATCCTAGGTAGACTCCTAAAGCTTCCCAGAAAAAATGTGATTTTTTTTTATATATACATTTAAGATTTTCATGGGGATTTTTACCCAGCCTTGGTCACTTACTAGAGGACTTAATGCACATGGAAAGTACTTACTTATATCTAACACAGTGTCCTCTGCTACTTCTCGGGCTTCTTTCTTCTGCTGCTTTTAGGGGTGGTGGAGAGCAATGGGACTGTCTGTGTAGAAAAGCGAGTCATGTGTATATCGGGTATCCCCGAAGCTTTGTTCAGTGTGCCCCTTTCTCCTTAACTTTCCCTTAGGTCATGTTTTCTGTTTCTTTCCACATTTTTGTACTTTATTGATACAGTGGGATTTGAGACTCTGGGAAGGATGAACAAGCTCTGGATTGGAGGAAGCTCAAACTACCCCATGTTCTAGGCTGCGGCTATATTGTGGCCCATTCTGAACCTGGGTATGCTTCTGCTGAATGTTCTGTCTTCTCTCCTCCTATTCCAGACCCTCTAGACTCTTCCTTTTCTTGGCTGCCTTCCTTGCTCTCCCCTCTGGTCCTTTTGGCTCATGCCTTCACGATAAGCAGAAAGGGAGTACGCAGGGGAAAATGGTGTTTTGTAGAAAGCATGGGACACCACAGTCACAGCTGTGGGCTGTCCTCCTTGGGAACTTGCTAGTCCCCAGACCCAAAGAAGGGGACTGAGCTATCTAGAAGGTGATGAGTTTGAGTTGGGGATGGGCAGAGAGCTTGCCCCTTCCCCTGAGTCGGGCTACAGAGGTGATGTCCATCTGGGGAACTTACCTCCCCAGAATTAGGAGCAAGGAGCCTAGAGTTGCCCCCTAATCTTGTCTACATCCGATTTCTTAAGGTTAAATAAGAGTGGGGTGGAGGAGTTCAGTGTGTTGGTGCACATCTTTAATCCCAGCAACAGGGAGACAGAAACAGGTGGATCTTTGTGAGTTCAGGCCAGCCTGGTCTATACAGTGAGTTCCAGTACAGCCAGGGTTACACAGTGAGACTCTGTCCCCAAAAAAATGAAGAAAGAGAGAGAGAGAGAGAGAGAGAGAGAGAGAGAGAGAGAGAGAGAGAGAGGAGGGAAGGAAAGGAAAGAAGAAAGAAATAAAAGAAGAAAGAAAAAAAGAAAGGGAGAAAGAAAGAAAGAAAGAAAGAAAGAAAGAAAGAAAGAAAGAAAGAAAGAAAGAAAGAAAGAAAGAAAAAGAAAGAGAAAGAAAGAGAGAAGAAACTGGAGCTTTCTTTGGGAGAGCTCAGTGTCAGAGAGATGCATTGTGGGTTTTGTTCTTTGCACAAAGAGAGAGGAACTGGTGACCAGTGGGCTTCAGCTGTTGGTGCTCCTGTAGCATGTGCAGGAACTTCAGGAGGCTCTTAGGAAGCGGTGGAGAAGGCATTCTGCTGCTCTGTATTAAAAGGAAAGCAGAGTTGCATGAGTTCGCTAGTAGCTACCAGCTATCCCAACTATGTTGGAGGTTGAGGCAGGAGGATAGAGAGTTAGTCCCAGGCCAGCCTGGGCTACATAGCAAGACTGTAGTTGGAAAATAATCCAAGAAAGAGCCACTTGTTAAATGGTAGGCAGAAGTGACCGAACACGGCCACTTCAGCTTCCTGTCCCTTAGTGTCTCCATCTGTAAAATGGAGCAGCTGTCTCAAGGAGTCTCAGAAGTCGTTTGTACAGTAAGGCTCCTTTACAATGGCGTCTGCTATACCATAGCTGCAGCTATAGTCAGGACATGTAGCATTCTCAGCATCTCTGTCTGGAGTCCAGTGCTGGCTCCTCTACATTGGGACAGACATCTTCTCTCTATACCCCAGTCTCCCCACCTGACAAAGAAGAAGTTTGGACAAATGGCCCCAGAGATCTCTTTCTGTTTCCATGGCTGTCACTGGAATGATACAGAGTAGGACTACAAGTGTGTCCTACTGGGTGTCTGTGCTGTTCTTGACAAATGTCAAGATCCTGTGTTTTTGCCAAGTGGGTCCTGGTTTTCAATGCTTGGGGGAACTGCAGTGCCTTCTAAGGAAGACTGAAGTCAACCCATTGATCAAGCAATGGTCCTTTGGAGAAGAGATTTTCCTCTGCTGGGAGTTCCTGCAGTGCAGCTGGCTGGATGTGAGGATGTGTGAGGCCCAGGATGAGCCAAGGTGCATACCCTTCCCAGGAGGCTGCCCACCAAGATGGAAGGGGAGACCAGTACACTCAGGACTCCTTGTCATCCCACAGCCCCAAACCGGAGGCACCTCCAACAGCTTGCCTTTGTCCTGCAGGGCCACACCCCTCACCTGGAACATCTGTTTCATGCTGTCACTGGTGCTGATCAGCATGCACCTGGCACACCCCACCGAGCCTCAGACTGCCTTGTCCCCTGTGACTTAGTGTGAATATGTGGGAGTGCGTGTCGGGCTCCAGGCTCAGTGCTGGGTGGGAAGGCTGGCTGATGGAGCAATGACCACTTAGCTTAAGTGCCTTGTTTTGGCAACACAGCTTCCTCCTGTCTGGCAACAATGGAGGTGGACTGTACCCTGGCAGGTGGACAGGTGGAGAACACAACAGGACATCAGCTTGCCCTCCTAGCAAAGGCCTTGACAGTCCTAGGTGGAGGTTCCTCTGCGTGAGACAGCCCAAAGTACCCACTAGATCCTAGCTCTCTACTGTCACCACCGCAGCCTTTGCAGACAGGGGAGGCTTATCAGGGAAACAGAGGTAGGAAATAGCATTTGCTTGGCAACAGTGAGTGGTCAGTGCTTTGTTTTTGTTTTTAATCTTTATGTGTGTATATGATGTATGAATGTTATATGTGTGCACACGCTCTCTGTGTCTCTATCTCTCCTTCTGTGTGTGTGTGTGTGTGTGTGTGTGTGTGTGTGTGTGTGTGTGTGTGTGTATACAGTGCTTGTGTGGGAGTCAGAGACATCCTTCAGTGTTGGCCCTTTCTTGAAACAGAGTCTCTTTTTTTTTTTTTTTTGCTGTTGCATACATACTTCAGGCTAGCTGGTCCATGCCCTTAGAGGGATTCTCCTGTCTCTGCCTCCCATCTCACCATAGGAGCACTGGGATTACAGATGTGCACTGCCACATTCGGCTTTACATGGGGTCTGGGGATTTGAACTCAGATCTTCACGCCTTCATGGCTAGAGCCATCTCCCCGGCTCCATGTTCTTTAAAGTCATTGGTGAATGAACAAATGAATGAATGAATGAATGAATGAATAAACAAGCCATCAAGTGAACAGTGAGGAATGATCTTCTGGCTCCTCTTCCTGGTCTCTTTCATGTGCCAAGAGGCATTCTGCATGGAAAGCACTGGGGTGCTCGCCCAAGGCAGTCATTTTCAAGTTCTTGCTGCGGCTGCTGCCTCTTCTATTCAAATGAAATATTGGGTAGAGGTCATTGTATGAAATAATGTCAATTTCTGTCTGAGGTGGGGAAAGGGCTCAGGCCCCCATGAGGGCCCATGACTGAGCTCCATGGTAACTCTATGAGACCTTAGTGTGTTCTGGAAACCTCCAAAAAACAGTTGTCAACCCCTTCATTTTAGGCATGAAGTAGTCTAGAGCCTGACAGGGACGTGTCTGTTCCCTAGCTCACACAGCTGTCTAGGAGTAGAAGCAAGCCCCTGTGCTTCACACAGGGGTTGCTGCACAGGCTGACAGGGTTCCTGAGCTCTGCATACGTATGCCTGGGAAAACTGGTCCTGGGTTTGGGAGGAGGCAATGGAGAACAGCCTGCATTCTGAAGGGCCTTGTATCTGTGGGGTTCTCTAAAGGAGGAGAGCTGGGGAGAGCCATGTCTTAAGAGATACACGGGAAGGGGGTCGGGGAAGGCTGGAGGGGCAGGAGGAGGGAAGAGAGGGGGATCTGTAGTTGGTACCTAAAATGGATAAAAAATTCCTTAATGAGAGAGAGAGAGAGAGAGAGAGAGAGAGAGAGAGAGAGAGAGAGAGAGAGAGAGAAAGCCCGGCTTTGTCCCAGACCAGACCAGTCTGGCCCATGTGGGGATGGCGTCTGAGCTCCCCCAACCCCTCCTCTCCCTGTCTTCACTCCCTGTCCCCAGTCTCCAGTAGACAAGAACTTCTATGCCTTATCAAAGTGCGCTCCTGGACTAGACAGCGTGAGGCCCACATATTATTCCAGCACTTGAAAGGCAGGGGCAGAGGATTGTGAGTTCCAGATCAGCCTGGGCTGTAGAGCAAAATTCTTAAAAACACAAAGACAGACAAAACAACAGTAGCTTCCGGCAGGGATTAGGGCCCCAGAGTGCTGGGCTCTGACCATGGTCTAGCCCATGCACCTCCTCCTTTGACAGTCCTTAAAACTCAGGGTCACTGGCAAAGAGGGGTGCCCCAGAGCACGTCTGCTCTTGCTCATTGGAGATGATAGGAAGAAGGCGATGGAGAGCCCAGCATTTGGTAGTAGCAGCTCAAAGATGGGACCAGATGACTAGACCTGTGGCCCTACCACTGCCTCAAGCTGGCATCTTGGGCACATCAGAGCCTCTCTGGACCTTGGCCATCACGTCATAGAAAGAAAGCTTTGATTAGTGGTCCTTCCAGCCTAGTGTATCCTCAGAGTGATGGTTCTACAAGGGAGTGGCCCTGGGAAGGAGCTTCCACAGGCCTGTCTTAGGCAGGTTCATGGGCTGTCACTGCAGTGGCCACTGCACGTTTTCTGGGTCCATCAGAAAAGCTTGTGTGGAGCTCTTCTCATGGGCCATGTGGGGCTGAGAAGCCAGGGAGCTCAGCCTGCAGCCACAGCTAGCTAACTGACTGACCCACAGGAAACTCAGGGGAGGTCAGTGCAAGACACAGACAGGGGCTGTTAACTAACTGCCATGCCCCACCAGCTGAGAGAAATTTAAAAAAAATGCCCCATCACCTGGGGGTGCAGAATCCATCCCTGGGAGCTGAGGTAGAATGGGCACAGGACTAGAAATGGGGGTGCTTGCGGGTCTTTAGCCCCTGTTCTGCTATATGGGACTTAGGAAAAGTATACATATGCGTGTGCGTGTGTGTGTGTGTGTGTGTGTGCTGTGTGTGTGTGCATGTGAGTGTGTGCTCACGTGCATGAGTGTGTGCTCGTATGTGGTGCATGCATGTGAGTGCACAGGTGTATGAGCATGTGGAGGTCAGAGCAGGCTGTCTAGTGTCTTCCTTATTGCCTTAAGACAAAGTCTCTCCTTTTAACTGGAAGTGTACTGATGCTGTTGGTTTGGCTAGTGAGCTCTAAAGATTAGAGTCTCAGTACCCCCAGCACTGGGGTGACAGCCACACACAGGCATGTCCAACCTTCTGCCTTCCTTCATGGTATATGCTTCCTGCCCTCTTGGTCTCCTATCATACACCAGAACCTCTAGAAAGTCCAACAAGCTGTGAACAGGGCCCCCAGAGCTCAGGCACAGCCAGGAGCATCAGAGGTGATGCAGTGTGTTTGGTGGCTAATTGGTATGACAAAGGGTGACCTTAGAGACCACGGGGGTGGGTCAGAAGGCATGAATGGCAGTGGTAGAAAACGGCCCGAGTTATCCAGGTGCTAACTCGGTCATAGACACCTGCCCATGCAGCTTGAACCGCCTCTGGTCTGTAGGAGGCTGTGCAAAGGGCAGGGCCCTGCAAGAACTTGATCACAAATTCTTTTTTTAGGGAGTTGTGTTCATTGGCAGAGGCTGGGATGGGGAGGCCTGAGTTCTGGTCCCCTGATTCTACCTTTGTACCTAGGGACCTTGGACAAGAAGTCTCCTCCCTTCCTGGGGCCCCATCTGTTGTCAGGGCGAAGTCAGGCCTCCACATGGGAGGGTGACATCTCTGCATTGCACTCCAAGGATGGAGGGGGAGGAAATGAGTTAGCGCTGCAGTAGGTTAGACATCAGGAAACTTCCCGAAGGGTGGAGTGGCAGGCCATGAAATGCATAAAGAGGGAGGCTGTGGGCGCTGGCATTCTCGTGAACTCTGAAGGTGAGGATGCTTCCTAATGTCCTGTGAAGTCTGGGTCAAAGTTCAGTGGCTTCTGTCTTCTTGCCTTGGGGCTGCCCTTCCATTCTGACACCCTCCTGGGACTCCCAGTTCTCCAAGTGGCACTTCTCATTCAGTTTTGGGGCTTCTAGGTCTCTCCTCCTGCACAGGTCTGAGAGGCCTACACTACCCAGCTTCCACCCCCGGCTCTGGTAATACAGTGCTGACTCTGTCAAAGCAGGGGTTTGATGCCCTCTGACTCGGGGTACCTACCAGTTTTCCAGCATTACCTACTCTGGCTTCTACTGTTTTCTCACCTCGCTGGCCCATCACTAGTTTCTTCTCTGTTCTCACTCTCTCTTACTCTAATTTCACAAATCTCCCTCTCTTTTAATTTCCCTGAACACCTTGCCCCGGACCTTCTTAACCCTTTCCCCTCTAACCCAGTCCCTGCATGATGAGGTGCCAGGATCACAGGGTCAAGCCCAGTTGGAGACAGCTAGAGTCCTTGACTGGGGACTCAGAATATTGAGAGTTCCTTTACTTGAGGAGCTGAGGTCATTCCCTGGAGTCCCAGCTCCCCTGGATAGAGTGCGGTGGGTCAATCTGTGGCTGTGGCTCGGCAGGTAGAGCGTAAACCCAGGATGCACACAGCCCTGGGTTTGACCTTCACCTTTGCCGAAACTGGGTGTGATGGCACATCAGAAGTTCGAGGTCATCTCTGGCTACACCAAGAGTTCAAGGCTAGCCTGAGCTACATGAGACCCCATCTCAACAACCACACAAGCAATTGTGTAAATAAACAAAGCCAGAGGGAGGGCAGGGATGGCCGTTCTTACAGTTTGCTCACCAGGCCCCTTGTGAGAACCAGACTGGACGGTATGTGTGAAATTCTACAGATGGTGAGCCCTGGAGAGATAAGGGAGACTGCTCTGATCACTTGTGACATCATTGGTTACAAGTTGGCCTGGTTAGAACCCAAGCCCTCTTCCTGATGCGACCTAGAAATTTGAAAATTGATCACCTTTTTATTATTCATTTTTTACGTGTGTGTGAGGTGTGTGGTACACTCACACGGAGGCCAGAAGACAACTTCCAACCATCATTTCTCTCCTACCATGTGGGTTACAGGAATTGAACTCTGGTTTTCAGGCTTGGCAGCAAGCTCTATTACCCACTGATACATCTCAGCAGCCCTTAGTTCCAATCTCTGTAAAGTGGAGCTAACAATACCAACTACAAAGAGCAAGCAGGAGGTTGACGTGGGGCCAAGAAAGGTGCCTCGTGGGCTGCTATCTTTGTTACAGCTTGACCCTCGGGTATAGTCCAGGCTCGTTCATATAGATTCCCGGTTGTCGGGGAAGGATTAGCCCTGTTTATACAAGTCAAACAAGCTCGCGCTGATCTGCCCAAGGAAACCTAGTAGGGAATGGGTGCAGCCCTATTCAAACAGATGGATTTCGAGCCAAGCATTCTCAAACACCAAGCAGGCCCGCTGTCACAGATGGTGTCACCCCAGCCCTCGCCATGTACCAGTGCTTCGCATGGCTCATCTGTGACTACTGCGATATGAAGCAGGGTGATCACCCACACCTTGCAGATAAGGAAGCTGGTGCAGAAAGGTGTGACGTCACTTGCTCATGTCACGAGGCTGAATTCAGGCATAGTCGCTGTAACTCTAATGACTGCAGATCTGGGTCACAAGGCTTCAACCAGACCTGGGAGGTGGTGGTGGGTGGGGAGTAGGGACGGGGAGGCAACCACAGTTTACAACATGAAGTACCACAAGGTCAAGACCCTGCCAAGAAACTGGGCTCCGCCTCAGCCCCCATCCTGCCTTACAAGGCCCCAGACCCCAGTTCTTTCGTCATGCTCCAAATGCTCAGAGTGCCCTGTGTCTGTGTTCAGAAAACAACACCAACAGTTTCTCCTGCCTTAAGGGGGATGTAAGGAAACCTGGAGTGGAATCCTGACTCTGTGGTTTTGGCAATCCAACTCTAGAAAATTAGCTTCTAGAATGACCAGTTCTCAGGATGAGGTTAGAACCCCACAAGGACACAGACATGGAGGTTTGTGGTCGATTCTAAAGTGTACTTTATTGTAGCCAGTCATAGGAATTTCCCCAGTATTGGGGAGGACCTGGCATGAGTTTGCAAGGATGGATGCCAGTGGAGGTACTGTAATACCAGGTCCCTGCCTGGAGCCAAAGTTCAGGCCACCACTGCTGGCAAGTTCACTCAGGGGCTCACATCACTGAGACCTGTCCCTCTAAATGAATGACCATAGTCTGGCTTTTTTCCAACACTCTTTTCTTCCATCATTCGCTCAGACCCGATGGCCATTGAGCCTTGGTCCTCTTGATCCTGTGCATGGAGAGCCAAGGGGAGAAGAAACTGTTATTTACTAGGTGACTTCTGTATCCTGGGCCCTGGCGAGGACTCTCCCAATTAGTGCCAGACTGTTTTACAGATGAACAAAAGGCTTACGTGACCCAGTGGCTGGTTCCAGTTTTCTTGCTTTGCAAGGACAGGCCCAAGATTGGGACCGAGGACTGCCTGACTGTCTGTCATCAAGGGCATTCTCAGCCAAGGGGCAGAGGAGTTAGCGGCCTAGTGTGCCCAGGGTCAAGTTTGGGTAAGGAATGTAGCTCAGTGATGGAGCATTTTCCTGCCCTGCGTTCAACTTCCAGCACCCATAAAAACAAGTATGTCTTCTCTTGTTCTGCCTTCCTTGTTCCCACCCCCCCTTGTCTGCTTATTTTAGAAATCTGTTCTCTAGACAGCAGTGGTCAGAGGGTGGCCTCGGTGTCAGAACAGCTGGGGCAGCAGAAGCAGGAACCTGAACGTCCCTAAACACGCTCAGATGCATCCCTGTGCGGCCAGCCGGAATAAGGGCACTCGTGTGTAACCACCCCTGCCCACCGATGGACCCCAGCAGCTCCCTATAGGAGACTCGCTGGTCCCTGCCTTGAGTGTGGTCAAAATCTTCCTTGAACCCAACACACAAGCCCCAGTAAAGTGAAGATGTGACCAAACCAACTGCCTCTGGTTCCTGGAAGAGATGATTTAAAAAGTATATTCGCTGTGTCCTACTCAGTAGTGACAATGGTCCTGGCTTGTGCCCGATGTTCTCAAGAGAACTTTGAACTGTTCTGCTCAGGACTTGGGTTGACTATATTCAAGCACACACAGGCCTTTCTCTGTCCCCAGTCACTTGCCCCAGAGTGTTTACCTCCCATTCCGTAGAGCCCACAGCTGGGATGGACTGGCTGGGAATAGACACAGGAATGCCCTTCACTCTATTTGCAGAATGCTTCTCCGGCAAGGACACCTCCTCCTCCTCAGGCTTCTCCAGCAAGGACATCTCCAGCCCGGGCTTCTCCAGCAAGGACACCTCCTCCTCAAGCTTCTCCAGCAAGGACATCTCCAGCCCGGGCTTCTCTTCCCCAGGCTTCTCCAGCAAGGACACCTCCTCCTCAAGCTTCTCCAGCAAGGACATCTTCAGCCCGGGCATCTCCAGCTGGGGCTTCTCCTCCTCAGGCTTCTCCAGCAAGAACATCTCCAGCCAGGGTATCACCTTCCAGGTCATCGTCGGGCAGGTCATCATCTGCCAGGTCAGCCTCCACGACATCCTCCCCAACGAGAGTGTACCTTGTTAGAGCAACACCAGTGGGGGCTGTCCCCATCCGGGCATCTCCTGCCAGGTCAGCACCAGCCACCAGGGCCACCAGGGAGAGCCCAGGTAAGGGGGCCATCGCAGGGAGGGCAGAGAACCAGGGCAGTGTCTTTGGGCAGAGGGATGCTCTCGGAAAGCACTCTGCTCCTTGTGACCCTGGGATAATGACATGGGGGATAGGCAGAGTGGAATGTGGGGTACCTGGAGAGGTGAGGGTAGAAAGGGACCATGACATGACAGCTTAAGATGGGACCATTAGGCAAAAGGAGGAGGGGACCCAAAGGAGCTAGGAAACCATAACACTGGAGGCTGCTGTGCCTACTGTAGAGCTCTGATTTCAAGAACAAGGGCTCCTGGCTACAGGAGGGGCTGTTTCCTTGGGCTGATCCGCACACCTGCTGGGGAAGCCAGGGTCTGCAGTAGTGCAAGGTCATGGTCAATATGTCTGTCCACATGTGGAGGAAGAATGAGAGGGTCTCTGACCCAAGCTTCCAAACTTGTGGGGGTAGGGATGAGGTTCAGCATTTCAGTTGCCGGGAAGTCAGAGGCCAGTGGGCCTCTAGGCTTGACTCTTCCCCTCAGGCAACTGTTTTCATTTACCCCAGATCTCAGCCTGTCCCCGTTGCCTTACCCCCATATACTCAGGCTTGGTTGCTATTTGACTGTGAAGAAATATTCAAGGTTTAGGGCCCATCCTAGCCTGTCCCTGTCCAGGGTAGGAGAGGCACTTTGGTGGGGTGGATTCTGGAATGAGACACTGCATTTGAATCTCTGTCCTGTCAGTCACTAGCTTAGTGACTTTGGGTAACCTATTTTATTTCCATGAGCCTCAGTTTCCCCATCTACAGAAGGTGCCTAATAAGACTCGGCTCATGGGATGCTGTGAGGATGAAATAGTCAGACACATGCACAGTGCCTGGCCAAGAGGAGGGACTACATAAAGGAGTGGAGATGGGTGGGTAGGGGTGGAGATGTATTGCAAGGTGCAAGGGTCCTAGCAAGATCCTCAGGGACCAGTTTGGCTTCTGTCTCTGCCTTCCCCCGTGCTGAACTCCTCCCCAGCAGTTTCCTTTCCCTACCACCCTGTTCTTAGGTCTCAGCGTGCCCAAGTTCTCCTGGCAGGAGACACAGAGACAGCTGCCACTCATCGGGTGTATCATCCTTCTCATCAGCCTGGTGATCTCACTCATCCTTCTCTGTGAGTCGAACAGAGGGGCCAGGGTGGGTTTGGGTCATCTCAGAATGGAATGGGGTCAGGCATGGAGCCATACCATGGGTCAGAGGGACTTACATCCACATAAGGACCTTGGATCATAGGGTATCAAGCTCCTTTGAGACGATTGGGGTAAGAGTGTGGGGTATCACGGGATTCTGGGTTTGGGTCCGTCATTGCATCTGAATTCTGATGATCCATTGGAACAGTTGCACTAACTGTATTGGGCTCTGTTTCACTATCATCAAATGGAATTGAGTTGATCATTAATCATTCAGTTCAGCACATACTTCATAAGATCGATCTTATTCCACTCTAGACTAGGAGAAGTATGTGAGAGAAATGTACAATCTTGACATAAAAATCTCACTATGAAAACATATAGCTATTTATGAAAACCAACATGCCATAAAATAATGAAAAAGCCTCCAAAGGTCAATGGGACAAGGTGTACTGTCTGGGGATTCAGACCCTTCATCTTGTCCTTTGGAAAAAGATACCCAGAACATGCCCCAGGCTCTTTGATCAGCAATCTTTTGGAAGCCAGCCCCAAAGGGGAGTCTAGGAGGGAGCAAAGATGAGCACATATCATCTTATTCTGTACCAGGAAAGTCACCCACTCCTGAGAAACAGAGCTAAAAGTATGTCAGGCTAAGTGATCTCAATGTGACTGTCAGAACAAGCGAGAGTGGGGCTAGTTAGGGCATGTGCAAGTCCAGATGAGGACCTGGAAAATATGGGAGCCGTTACGTCTCTCTTGAACATCAGGGGTGTGTGTGTGTGTGTGTGTGTGTGTGTGTGTGTGTGTGTGTGTGTGTGTGCGCGTGCATGGTAGGGGAACAGGTAAACAAGGCCTACACTGGGTAGAGGCATGCATTTGAGAGCCTGGAGTCCATCTGTTTAGTTACTTGAGGCCACAAAGCTTCAAATGTAGGCTGAGAAGGATTCTATGGAAGAGGCGGCATGAGATGGGGAACGGAGGGATGGATAGGTGCATGGAAACTTGCGGTGGCATGGCTGTTGGGGAAGAGGGTAATGTGCTGTTATAGCTTTGGTACCACACATTCCTGCTCCAGCATCCTGCTCCTGCCTCTGCCTCTCATGAGCTGTAGGATGTTAGCAAGTTAGTTATCATGTCCAGTCTCCATTTCCCTACCTGCTGACTGGATGGTGTGGTCGTTATCACAGTGCAGGAGCTGAGACCTGAGACCCCTGTCCTCTCCATCTCCCTTGGCCAGCAGAGTACTTTGCTTCTGAGAACAACAGGAATGACCCATGGAGGGCCATGAGACGCTCAAGGGCGGGCTCACCTAGCAGCCTTAAAGCTCTAACCTGGTTCTACAGCATTTCCCGAAGTCCCCACAGTTCCTTCATGGAGACCAGAGAGGTAGTATGATCTGTAGGTCAAGCCCGGCCTCCTGGTTCCTCTCCCATCATCACTCCATCCAAAGCACCTCACAGTGGTCCTAGGATGTGCAGCTTCCCAGGCACCATGAGAGGAATATCCAGGACATCCTGGAGCTTCAGCATCTAGGGTGTGGGGGGAGGAGGGAAAGACACCGAGAGAGGAGAGCATTCGGCATTGAGGGATTAGGAGGATGTGTGTCTGGCCTGGGAAGGGACTGTCTCAGCAGGTGGCCTCCTCCGGAGTGACAGAGACCATGGTGGAACTGGGGAGACAATGTGAGGTTAGAGCTGAGGAGATGACAGAGGCTGGGAGGTTGGGTGAGGCATTAGATGACAGGCCTGTGGGGGCCGCATAGGGAGGTGTCTCAGGCAGTAGGGTGACAGTTCAGGTTTAGAGGCAGAGGAAGACTTGGAGCTGCTTCCTACATAAGGTGTGAGAAGTTTCCTTGCACATTTGGAAATCAGCCAAACATTGCTTGCTGAATGAGAAGACACTGAAAGGCACAGAGAGAGGCAGGGAAGCGAGGACCAAGTACAAGAGATAACCATGTTTAGGGGTGAGGGAGGAGGATGTAAATTTAGGAGCCGCTGAGGCTGGCATCGTGGTATCCGTTAAGAAGACAGGCTAGGTAGTGGCATGTTCTCTCTCTCTCTCTCTCTCTCTCTCTCTCTCTCTCTCTCTCTCTCTCTCTCTCTCTCTCCTTCCCTCCTCCCCTCCCCCGCACCTCTCTGTTTATGTGTGTGTATGTAGCATAGAGAAGAAGGGATGCCAGAGGGGTTCTGAGAGGGAACTCTGGGATACTGGAGAAGGTTTCTCTGGCTACTATCCTCTCTAGCATATAAGCTAAGGAAGCTTCCAAAGTAGGATCCATGTCTATCTCTCATTACTTCTCTTGGTCTCTTCCTTTCTTTCTCTGGGTAGCTGGCTGTTCAAATCTGTCTGGGGCTGCTCTAATTGCAGGAGCTTTCTAGTACATTCCTGAGCAGCCCTTTCTTTCCATACAGATGGGGGACGAGAGCCCCAGAGTCCAAGAGGGATTGCAGGTCGGTGTCTGAGAATCCCCAGGGCCTTGGGCTGCTGAGTGTCCTGTCCCTCAGGCTCTGTTAATAACCAGCTGCCGGCTTGTTGTTTGTTTTGTTTTTCTAGTCTACTTCTGGCGAGGCCACACGGGGATCAAATACAAAGAGCCGACAGAGAGCTGCCCCAACCACGCCGTTCGCTGTGATGGAGTGGTGGACTGCAAAATGAAAAGCGATGAGCTGGGCTGTGGTAAGAAGGCTGAGCGTGGGGAACAGTGTGTGTGTGTGTGTGTGTGTGTGTGTGTGTGTGTGTGTGTGTGTGTGTGTGTGCCTGCATGTACACTCTGGCGACTACACACTATATTATGAAATGTCATAGCTCGGGCAAAGGCCTGGGCAGAAAATGAGAAGATTTTGGTTTGAGTCACAGCAGACAAGGGTTTGAAACTTGGTTTTGAGCATCATGTGACATGGATCACTTACCTGCTTCTTAGGGCTCTGAACTTAAAAAGAATGGACTGGTTGAGATTGGCGACAGTTACATAAAATCTGAAACTCTGTGAGACAGAGAAAAACTGAAACTCTGACTGGAGACAGGCTTGCGGCGGGGTGCCTCTGGAACCCAATTTCTTTGCTCAGACTTGTGACCCCTTTGGTTTCTTCATGTCCTAAACAAGCACAAAGACCTGTTGAGCTCTAGCCCTCTGTGGTTATGCTTGTGTGGTCTTACACACCCTTGCTGAGGGGTGTGGGTGCCCCATTCTTTCACGTCTGCATTTATTAGTGTACATGCCCTTGCCCATGATTACACCTATCTGTGACCAAGGCTGTCCTGTGAGCTCACACTCAGATTATCGATACTATGCTCCTTATGTTTTTCTTTGAGCATGTTATTGCCCTCTAAGGGTGAGTGAGATGCTTGTCCCTCTTCCAGCAATGACCTCTTGAGTCCTGATGGATGAACAGCTGCCCAGCCACAGCCTCTTGGCCTTAGCACTGTGCTTATGAAGGCCTTGGGCCTCCAGACATCACTGCTTGGGCAGCTCAGCCTTCCCACACCTCTCCCAGAAGCTTCCCAGAGCCTTTTGCAACTTATTCCCAAGAGCTTGAAGTTTCCTGGGCGCTGAGACCCTGCTCTGCCCTTTTCTGTTCTGCAGTCAGGTTCGACTGGGACAGGTCTCTGCTGAAGGTCTACTCTGGGTCCTCTGGTGAGTGGCTCCCTGTCTGCAGCAGCAGCTGGAATGACAGCGACTCCAAGAGGACCTGCCAGCAGCTGGGCTTTGACGGGTGAGCATGGAATGGGGGTGTGGCATGCGCGCTGCACAGAGAGCCTGTCTCAAAAAGTTAAAGGAAGAGGAAGAGAGAAAGGGAGGGAGGAAGGGGGAGAGGGAGGAAGAAGGGAATGGGGCCTTGCAGGACCCTTGCTGATCCCACCGACGCAGGACGCCCCTGAGTCATTAATCAAGGCAGTGGCCTGGGTTCCACAGAGTGCTGGGGAAGCTGTGATTGCATTGGTCTTCCCTAGGGCTCTTTTTGTGAAAACACCTTCAGGACCATCACCATACTGAGTGGTTCTGGGATGGCTCTGTGTAGAGGGTTGGTTATTTGGGCAGACCTTATCTTCTTACACCGGGCACTAGGAGCTCAGATGTGCAAAACATTTGGTGGACTTTGAACCAGAGCAGTTGTGGCTTGGTTATGAAGCTCGTTGAATGAGAAACAAGATAGAACCTGTGTGGTTTGGCCAAGCCCTGTGAAGCTTTGGCTTTAAACGTTTTACGGCTTCAGAAGCGAGTGAACCTTCCTACTTGAAGGCTCCTCCTACCGGAAGGCCAGATGGGCACCTCCATTCACCATCTTGGTCTGAGTTGTGTGTGTGTGGTTGCACATGTATGTACATATATGTAGAGGACAGAGGGTCAGCCTCAGGTGTTTCTCAGGAGTTAGCCACCTTATTTTTTGAGAGAGGGTCTCTCATCAGTCTGAAGCTTGTGAGGTAAGCCAGTCTGGCGGGCCATGGAGCCCCAGGCATCTGTCTGTCTCCACAGTGCTGGGGTTATGAGCATGCCTCCTCCATGCCTGCCTCTTTACACAGGCCTTCCAGCTTTTGTGCAAGCGCTTTCCCAGCTGAGACAGTCCTGAGCCCTTCCTCCGAGTTCTTAAGCTGAGTGGTTTAGGGATGCATGGATGAGTGTGAGGTTGTGAGTTCCCCTTAGAAGAAATACCTAGAAAGATAGGGTTAGAGCTAGGACTCAGAGCCAGTTCTCTGCCTCCACCTTGGCCTCAGAGTCCTGGTGGGTAAAGGAGGAACTGATTGGTCCAGACTTAAGCCCCAGGTGTCTTTGTCTGTGTGTGATCTCCTGCAAGTGTAGTAAAGCTCTCAGCATTCTCTTTGGACACCATTGATGCAGAGAGCATCCACAGAGCTTCCAGTAGATTATATGACACACAGGCAGAAAAGAACAAGACAAGACCCTCTTGTGATGTGGGAAAGGCTTATTCCAGCAGTCCCACACCAAGGGTATATGTGGGGCTCTGTTGGGACACAGTGGAGGTTCTTAAATGTGCTTGGTTAGAGGAATGGCATGTTCACAGGCCCAGTTCACAGAAACATATAGAATGTTCTAGATGTATACATAAGTTCCAGGCAGAGAGTAGAACATACTGGAATCATCAGGGTGCTTGTAAAATTGGACTTCACAACCTGAATCTCTAGAATTAGGACCTAGAACTTCTTTAGCGAATGCCCAGTTCTGAGGCATGCTGTTCGGAGAGTCAGCAGCATGTATACGGATCACTTTCTGGGTGATCTTGAGCTTGCAGTTGGTGCTCAGTAGGTCTGGGGTGGTGCCAATGCCATGGGACTGTGGGCCACAGTTGGGATGGTGCCTTAGTCAGCGTTTCTATTACTGTGATAAAACACTATGACCAAAAGCAACTTGGGGAGGAAAGAGTTTCTTGTAGCTTACATTCTCAGATCACACCCCATCACTGAAGGAAGTCAGGGAAGGAACCTGGAGGCAGGAACTGAAGGCAGAGGCCACGGAGGAACGCTGCTTATCAGCTTGCTCAGCGTGCCTTTTTATAGAACTTAGTACAACTGCCCAGGAATGGCACCACTTAGTGGCCTGGGCCCTCCCAGACCACTAAGGAAGAAAATGCTCTACAGACTTGCCTACAGGCCAGTCCTATAGAGGCATTTCTCAATTAAGATTCCTTCTTCCCAGATGCCCCCAGCTTAGTTGATGTAAAAACCAGCCAGCCCCGATATAATGGGCTAGGTGGGTGTTCTTAAAGTCAAGGATACATCAGAATTGCCTGGAGCTGTTAAAACATAGGTTGCTGGGTGCCTCTCAGAGCTTTTTCGGTGAGTCTGAGGTAGAGCCAAGAATATGCCTTTCTAACCAGGCACTGGTGATGAGGCCAGACCTACACCATATTGGAGAGCTATTGGGCTGGTCGTAGGGCTGGTGGGGGCAGGAGCAGAGCATGTGGTGGAGCCAGGCTTTGAATGTTGTGCAGGAGTGGCTACCACACAGGCCATTCTAGCCTGCCTCTGTCAGTCAGTCTGTGGTGCTCTGTTGGATTCCAGCTCCGGCCTGTCAAAGGGTTCTTGAGGGGAAGAGAGAGGAATGAGGAGGTATTAGATAGAAATATAGGCGTATTGGAGAGAAAGACAGAGACACAGGCTAGCTTTGGCAGGGCCCTGGGTCAATACCCAGTGGCCTCGAGGTTTTTTCCAAAGAACTTTTTATACAATGTCAAGGGACAAGACAAAAGACCTCTCCCTTTCAAGATCAGCACAATATACAGCCAAGTGTAGACCCTTCTTTTTTGTAAACCACGCCGTGGCCAAATCATCCCATTATGCAGTCCTGCTGGGTAAAGCAAGCTCAGATTCTCTGACCTTGAGTAAGGTCTCCCTAGGGAGCGCTTGTGGGCATCCACAGTGCTCGGATGCTGCGGGGGACTTAGGGTCTGCGGACTGCAGGGTGTTCATTCTTCTTCCCTCTTCTTTGCAGTGCTTACCGAACAGCCGAGGTGGCCCATAGGGACATCACCAGCAGCTTCTTACTCTCTGAATACAACTCCACCATCCAGGAAAGCCTCTACAGGTGCAGTGGAACAACTGGGCTGACTGTGTGCAAACAGAGGACTGAGGGACTAGTGGAAGGTGCTTAGAGTCAGCGAGACACCCCCACACCCCCATATTTTCCTGGGACCCAGATTCCCAGGCTCCATTGCAAAGTGCCCGGAGTACTGTGGACACCTAGGGCTTAGAAGCTCTTATCTGAGGTCTAGTAGAGAGATCACCCCAAGGTCAGAGGCTCCTGCTTCCAAATCTCCAAGGGCTTGCCTGATCTAAGAGATGACTAAGAAACTCGTGGGGCCACAGAGAGCTAGTGCACAAGGCTCCACCTGGTGGACTCAGAATGGAAAGATGCATCACTGGGGACAGGAGCAGGGGACTGACAGGTACAAGCAGTCAGGGCCCAGGAGGGCTGTGAAGCTTCAGCAAACCCCCCCCCCCCCCCCCGTCATCTTTGCACAGCAGTTCCTCTTTGTCCCAGCCCCCTCCCCCAAGATGGACGTCTTCGCACTAGCATTGCTCACCTAATGTGAGGGTGAGAGGAGACGCAATGGTCCCTTGGTGTCTGCTTTGGGCTAGGCCCTCTGCATGTTGCATTGGGGATCGTGAAGCTATAGAAGAGGCTCGGTAGGGTCTGCTTAGTTGTAGAATGAGGCTGGGACCATGAAGGCTTGCTTGGGTTCCAAAGAACAGGGAACTAGCTGATGTGAGTGATTCACCAAATGAAAACTGGGAGGGGAAGGGGATGACGGTGGAGGTAGTTTGCTCGCATCCACATTCCCGGAGAAAGCACTATAAGGAGGATCACCCAGTGGGAGAGGGAAGGTCTGAGTCTCCACCTTTTTTGTGAAAGGTAGCTTCCCTGGAAATGGGCCAGGATGTGAGCGGGTACCAGTCTGGAAGACGGGGCAGCTACTGACCCCTTTTCTCATCTTTTGTGTCCCCGCACTGCAGGTCCGAATGTCCTTCCCAGCGGTACGTCTCCCTCCAGTGTTCCCGTAAGCTGATTTTCTTCTTGTAGTGTGGCCTAGGGGGCTTTCTAGGGCAGAGGGATGGAACCTTTCTAGGGAAGATGGCTGCTCCTGGGATCCAAGCCTGTGAGTCTGCTTCAGGGCCAGGGAGCGTGAGAATGCCTGGGTAATATTTCCCTTCTAGTCCTTCTGACCTTGGGAAATTCAGTCTTGCAATCTCTGTCATTCCAAGGGAGTCATGTGAGTCTCCTGAACTTTTGGTAGAGGCTGAGAACTGAGGGAGGACAGTGGGAGTGGGCTAGCTGAGAGATTTGTGTCCAATACTCACTCGAGTGCTGGTCCATGGAGGGTACTGCGCCTGTGTCTGTACAGGTATAGCTGTAGTTACTGACTTTGAGAGCCTTGCAGGGTAATTACCATTACTACCCAATGTCCCTTGCCCAAGATCAGAACCCAGGCAGGCAGGGAGCTGATACCTGACCTTGGAGCTGACCCCTAAGCCCTAGCTGTGAGTAGCTCCACAAGTTCTATGTTCTTGGTGAAACCGGGGTGCAGGCTGGCCCACTGCTGTGGCTGCAGTACCCACCGCTCGGACAGTGTGCTGCTCTCTCTCCTCTGCAAGCAGAAAAGCCCCGTGTCTGAGCACACCCGTAGGCTGCCGCTCCTTGTCCCGGGCTTGACTCACTGCGGAGTTGCTCCTTGTGTAAACCCAGCTATACGGCATAGGACGTGGACTCCTCCTTCGTCTGAAATGAGAGGTTGCTACACTCATTCTCATCACCGCAGGGTTGTGATGGCATCTTTTGCTTTCCCGGGCCCTTGGTGACAGCCCTGGGACTCACCCTCGTAACCAAGCCAGATTCAATGCCAAAGCATTGGGTACGAAGTAAGCATTTGGCAGGTTAATGCAAGAATGGATGAATGGGAAGAAGGCGGATGCTCTCTGGGGTCAGACTTCCTACTAGGTAACCCCAAAGGTTAAGACCACCTTGTACTATTTCTGCTTGGACAGGGGATAGGGGTGCCACATTAGATTGTATGACCAAAGGGTGACCTTCGGGATAGGACTGCCCAAGCTCGCCCTAAGAGGGGCTCTAAAAGAATCCTCTGACCTGTTTCGTTCTCTCCATTCCCCCCAGACTGTGGTCTGAGAGCTATGACCGGGAGGATCGTGGGAGGGGCTCAGACCTCAGAGACCAAGTGGCCTTGGCAAGTGAGCCTACACTTTGGTTCCACCCACATCTGCGGGGGCACACTCATCGATGCCCAGTGGGTGCTCACCGCTGCCCACTGCTTCTTTGTGTAAGTGCCTGGTTACGGGGGTGGGGGTGGGGCTTCATTAGATGCTGCTGGGGACTTGGAGCCACTAGGAAGGGTTTATGGACACTTTAGTGTAAGCCTAGTTCCTTGGGGTTAGCTACTGCTCAAAAGATCGAGTGTGAATGAGGGTTTGGCCCTGAGCTTGAGCCAAGGATGAAAAACAAGAATCCTAAGCAAAGCGAGGCAGGCCAGAAGAAGACTTTCGGATCCTTTCCATCCGGATGTAATGAAGCTCCCGGCTTCTTGTTTCCACCTCCTGCAACAACAGCTGCAGAACAGCAGAGGGGTGACGACGAAGGGGAATTCTGTCTCAGGACTTGAGGGACAGGGACAGCAGGAGGGTGGCACAGTTGGCTTCTCCGGGTCTCCAGCAGCCTTTGGGGACCCAGAGCACAGAATTGTGGAAACTGGCTCCCTGAGTAATGAATTTTCATTACCATGTCCTGTCTAAATCTCCGAGGCTGATGCCATTTGTCCCACATCCTGGGTTCTGTCCTTAGTGGCATGCGGATGGGGTAGTAGGGATGAATGACACACAGAAGAATCACTCATTCATTCACTTTTTTTTCATACTCTAAGGTTCAGGGCAGCCAGTTCAGAACAATTTTGAGGAGAGTGAGAGTTTTGGGGCTTCATAAGATAGAAGATTCATTCAAAGGTCATTTTATCCATCCTCCTGTCTTCAGGCTGGGGCTCCTGCTTTGACTGCCTGTGTGTCGCAGATCTTGGCAGTGACCTCTGCCAGGTGTATAACTGAACAGTACTCATACTCTGTGGCTCTTGTAGGACCCGGGAGAAGGTTCTGGAGGGTTGGAAGGTGTATGCAGGCACCAGCAACCTGCACCAGCTCCCTGAGGCTGCCTCTATCTCCCAGATCATCATCAATGGTAACTACACCGATGAGCAGGATGACTATGACATCGCCCTCATGAGGCTTTCCAAGCCTTTGACCCTCTCAGGTGAGTGAGTGTGTGCCTGCTTCCTGTCATCCTTGACTTGGAAGCTTCTGTTTCCCCAGCTTCAGGCTTCAGGGTGTCGTCATAGCAAAGAGAAAGAAACTTAGAGATCATTCCATTAAATACATTTCTTTTACAAGTAGGAAAGCTGGGGTGGGGGTTGGAAGACTTGACTCAGTGGGTAAAGTTCTGGCTCTACAAGAGTGAGGACTTGAGTTCAGATCCCCCGAGCCAGAGTAAAAAGCTGGGCATGGTGGCATAAGCCTATAATGTTAGCACTGGGGAGCAGAGACAAGGGGATCCCTGGGGCTTGATGATTAACCAAAGTTTCTAGTTCAATGAGATATCTTGCCTCAAAAACACAAGGTATAGAACTGATGGAAGAAAGACATCTTGACATGAATCTTTGACCTCATATACTTGCATAGGCAATAACACCTACATGTCTGCATGTGTGTGTATGCACATACACACACACAAATACATATACACACATATGTATGAACAATACACAAAGAAAGGAAGAAAGAAAACAATAATTGAGGAAACTTAGGCCCAAGATTTAGAAATATGTGTGCCGCAAATGACATATCTCAGGTTATAAATTGGTCAAAGGGCTAGGCTTGTACACTGGTCTTAATATAAATATTAATATAATTATCTTAATACAAATAATCTTATATAAATAGAATTAAATCTTAAATAATCTTAATATAAATAGAATTGACTTACTGTTAGTAACGATGTATTTAGCAGCTGCCAGGCAGTGTGCGTTAGTTACTTGTCTCATTGCTGTGACAGAACACCAGTAAAAGCAATTTAAGGTCAGATTATCTGGTTCACGGCGTGAGGGGGCCCGGTCCACCATGGAGAAGAAGCACAGTAGAAGGCGGGTAATTTCCCGGCGTCAGGAGTGTGCTCATATCCAAGTGAGATCAGGAAGTGGGGATGGGCTGTGAACCTTTAGCTCCACCCCCTGCAGCCTGCTTTCACAAGTGAAGACCACCTTCTGAAGGTGCCACAACCTCCCACAGCAGAGCCGGGACCAAGTGTTCAATCACATACGCTTGTATGGCACATTTTACGTCTAAGCCATGACACACATATTTGGTATGCATGATTGTGTGTGCTCTTCCCAACCAGCCCAGTAGAGCGCAAAGCCTATGAGCTCCGTCTGACATGTGGAAAGTAGAGCTTTAGAGAAAGATGTTAACTGAGGGCTTGAGTGACAGCTGAGCTCCTGGATAGTACGTAGATGGATCTTACTCCAAGTCAAGCTCCTTCCCACCTGGGCTAGCTGATGGCATGGAGCCGTGGAGAACACGAGTTGAGCACAGTTTTGTGTGACTCACTGCTCTGACTTGGGAACAAAGGACCAAATGAGGCTCCGTGACAGAAAGACCACAGAAGTTCCCAGATCACTGGGGACACTGAATGTCAAAGAAGGCTTCATTCATTCATTCACTCACTCATTTGCTCACTTCTTACTGTGTGTCTACTACACAGACAATGGCAAATAGAACAAACCAGGTGTACCAAGACCACCAGAAAGGGCCAACGGTGTCATGTTAGGGGATCAGAAGGAGAAGAGAGGGCAGTCAGGCGTGGCAGGCTGGGGGCAGTGCAGAGGCCAGCTAAGGTGAGTTCTAAAAGAACTCATGGGACTGGAGGGAAGACTCAGTGGTGCCCAGCGCCTGTGTCTGGCAGCTCACACTGCCTTTAACTCCAGCTCCAGGGGATCTGACACCCTCTTCTGGCTTCTATAGGCACCTGTACTCTTGCGCACACAGCCATACACAGACACACATATACATGCGACTAGAAACTAAAATCTTTAAAGAGATTGGTGAAGACAGGTTAAGGGGGCTTAGAAGAGAGTCTGAAGAAGGGGGACTTAAGAAAAATCTCATGGAAGTGAAGCAGCCACTTGTCCTTTGGAGGGCCAGGATTCCCCGGATCCTTGGAGAGCTCTGATTAGTCCAGACATTCTGGAGTCTTGAACCTGTGAACTGGTGTTTCCTCACATATCCATATGGAAGCAGTGTCTGCCGCCCATCGGAACAGCTAGTTCATCAGAGTGGGGTGAGGAGAAAGAGTCCTGGGCAGAGCTCTGATGTGCAATCTGTCTCTCTGGCCACACCCACCCAGGCTCATCTATGGAGCCTAGAGCTATGGCCACACCCACCCAGGCTCATCTATGGAGCCTAGAGCTATGGCCACACCCACCCAGGCTCATCTATGGAGCCTAGAGCTAAGCTGTGGACTCAAGCAGCCTCTTTCTGGGCAACTCACACAAACAAATCATGAGCCTGAACAGGGATTATCGACCTTGTACAACTCTGAAACCATTTGGCTAAAACACCCATGTTTTACTCGGTTTCTCTCCTGGCGTGGGCATGTCCTTAAGTCTAAGAACTGCAGTTCAGATTTATACAGTCCTAGGGTCAGACCATATGCTTGGATTTTTGGTTTACAAACCAGGTCAAGATTTTCTTGAATTACAGTATTTTCTGTGAAAACTCAGTAATTTAAACTCCTCCATGTAGTTGGTTGTTTTTCACTCTTTGGCTCTTTACTCTTTGGGGGGCCCGCCACCCAGCTCCCAAGTAATCACACACTGAGACTTATTACTTATGAAAGCCCAGCCTTAGCTTGGCTTGTTTCTAGCCAGCTTTTCTTAACTTAAATGATCCCGTCTACATTTTGCCTCTGGGCTTTTATCTTTCTCTATTCTTTATACCTTTCTTTACTTCTTACTCTGTGGCTGGCCCCGAGTGTCCTCTCTCCTTTTCTTGCTCCTTTCTCCTCAGTCTCCTTCTTCCTCTTATTTATTCTCTCTGCTTGCCAGCCCCACATATTTCTCTCTCTACCCAGCTATTGGCCATTCAGCTCTTTATTAGACCAATCAGGTGTTTTAGACAGGCAAAGCAACCCAGCTTCACAGAGTTAAACAAATACAACACAAAAGAATGCAACACATATTTGCATCATTAAACAAATGTTCCACAGCATAAACAAATCTTTTTTTTGTTTAAACACATCTTAAAATAATATTCTACAACACTTCCCCAAACAAGAGCAATCTACAGCTACAGGATGTATACAACTGTGTTACATGTTAAGATACATTTCAACAATGAGCATAAAGAAGAAATCATTTGATTTTTTTTTGTTAATAATAGATATTACCCTTCCATTTTCATTTACTGGTGTGTTTACTCTCTAGCAGACAAAATGTGTGGATACTAACGTTGAAGCCCCAATTCATGAAAGAATTTAACGTGTGCTCCAGTCTCATTTATGCTGCTGTATAAAAGGACACTGACCACAAGCAATGTGGGGTGGGGGTGGGAGGTTAGAGTTTATTTGGCTTGCAATTCCAGGTCATGGTCCATCCTTTCAGGGCCGTCGAGGCAGGAACTCCGGCAGCTCGTCACATCACATCCATGGTCAAAAGCAAAGAGAAAGAATAGCTGCATCCTTGCTTGCTGCTTAGCGCTCTCTTAGGCAGTCCAGGGTCAGCCTATGCAATGGAGCTGATCACAATGGACTGGGTCTCTTCCTTCATAATTAGCAATCAAGATAATCCCCCACAGACATGCCCACAGGCCAGCCTGATCTAGATAATTCCTCAACTGAGATTCTCTTCCCAAGTGATGCCAGGTTATGGCACGTTGACATCTAAAACTGACAATCACAACCTGAATTCGCCTCTCCCTCCTTAGTGCCCCCTCCCTCCTCAAATGTTCATAGATCCCTGAGCCTGGGTCAGGCCTAGAAATGGGAGCAGAATGCAGTAGTGAACATAACAAATGGCTGAGAATCCTGCAAAATCCTACCAGCGAATATTTTCCTCCTGTCCTTCGGAGCTGAGTGGTCAGTATCACAGACCATCCAAGGGGAGCCCATGCTGAGGGAGCTCGTGAAGTGATGTGCAATGACACTTGGTAGGTAGTGCCTGGCATGGGAGCTAGTTAGCAGGAGGTCATGGTCTCAGTTATGTGCTCTTCTTGCTTGGACGGTTGACTCACCCCATGCCAGATGACTGTTTAGACAGAGAGCCCCAAGTGGTGGCCAGCCAACAGGTGCCCTCCTGGATCAGGTGGTATGCAACAGGGGCCTAACATCAGAAGCTTATCTTTCACTGTCCATGCTTTGAGGGAAAGGCCTGGGAGAGTCTTAGCCAGGAGAGTTGCTCGTGATGGAGAGAGACTTTCCTCCTCCCCATGCCAGCTTGGCTCCAGCAAGCTTCCACAGCTGTACACTTGTGTGCACAATGACACTGCAACCAGAGTGGCTTCCTGGATGCTGGCAGCACACTGAAGGCTGAAAGGTTCAGATGGAATGACTGACTTCCGTATCTGGCCAGTCCAAAGCCTTAAAGGATTCAGAGCCAATGCGAGAGAAAGGATCAGATTCCTGTAATGTGTTTGCTCTGCCTCACCCCTCCCTCTACCCAAACCCCAACCTTGCTCTTTCGCTAACACCTAACTGTCTTGTCGCAGCTCACATCCACCCTGCCTGCCTCCCGATGCACGGTCAGACCTTCGGCCTCAATGAGACCTGCTGGATCACTGGCTTTGGCAAAACCAAGGAGACAGATGGTGAGAGGAAGAGATGCAAGACTCTGTGTGTGTGTGTCTGTACAGTATGTGTGTGTGTGTGTGTGTGTGTGTGTGTGTGTGTGTTTGTACAGTGTGTATGTTGTAGGCCGTGTGTATGCAGATGAAAGCCTATGGAGGTGAGAGTTTGGGTGTATAGACTCATGGTTCATAGATGAACATGGACACCTGTGATTATATTGGCACTGTCCATGTGAGAACACCTTCTAGGCAAGACTGCCAGGAAGCCCCTACAGCTGAACAAGGTGGGTTTACTGCTCAGGACAGTGAGGGGAAGCACACATTTCAGTAAGAGGCTGTCAGAAGAACTGGAGAGATGGCTCAGTAGTAAGTGTTAAGAGCACTTACTACTCTTCTAGAGGACCTGGCTTTATTCTCAACACCCACATGGTGGCTCACAACAGCCTGTAACTCCAGTTGCAGGGCATCCAAGGCACTCTTCTGGCCTCCAAGGGCACCAGGTACCTAGACACAGACAAAGGAAAGTTCATACACATCAAATGAAATAAATGAATATTTTTAAAAGATGCTATTAAAAAGGGCTTATTGTAGGATGTGTGTAGCTTGGAAGAAGTTCAAGGAAGTGGTACTTTTCTCTAAGTTGGATGCTGTTGAGAACCAGTGGCTGGAAAACATAGTAATCTCCTCCAGAAGGAAGGTAGAGTCTCAGGCTATGATGGTTCAGGAGCAGTGGGCCCTGGGCTGACTGGGAGAGAGGATGTTTCATATCTGTGGTTTGCAGAAGGACTTCCTACTTGCAGTACTGGGTCTTGAACCCAGAGCCTCTTGCTTAGGCTAAAAAAAAAAGTGCACTACTGCTGAGTGGCATTACTAGGCCTTTGTGTTCAGTGGGTCACCCCAACTGAAGCTGCACTCATTTAGCAGCCTAGGCTTGCCTTGAACTGATCCTTCTGCCTTAGCCCCCAGGGTAGTTGAGGTTATAGGCCTGTACCACTAGGCCTGGCTGGGACAAGGAAGGAAGGAAGGATGATGGAGTAGTTTCATTTGTCCTCACTCAGTCTGAGCGCCTTGTCTGGGGTTAGCCATAGATGACCATCTGTGTCCCTCAGAAGGACACCGTGGCCTGGCCAGCCTGGTCATTACATTCAGGTCAACTGCACCAGACAGGTCACTATTCCCTGCTTCCTATGATGGAAACCTGACTAGTCTGGATCCAGCCTCCTGATCTTGCCAGTTCAGTGATTAGCTACTCAGAGGTGGGCAGATCATTTCTTCAGTCCTATGTGTCTAGATATGTAAGTGGGAGATCAAGACCTGCCCCAAAGTCTTTAGGCTTCTGAAAACACATGGCACATGGGATGGTGCTTGGAATGTAGATGAGTGTGTGCCAACTCAGGGTGTTAGTTACTCTGCCACAAAATCCCTGACAGAACAGCTCAAGGAAGGAAGCGTTTATTCGCTCACAGTTCTACAGTCCCTCCTGGGAGGGGTGTCATGGCAGCCTGAGCTTAGGCAGCTGGTCATACTCTCTCTGTAGTCAGAGGGAGATAAGGACTGCTAGTCAGTCCCCTTTCTCTTTTTTATCCAGTCTAGGACCTAGCCCATGAAATGATGCTGCCCATATTTAGGGTGGGTCTTCCTACCTTAGTTAGTTAATCAAGAAAATCCCTCCCAGATGTTTCCTGGGGCTTCTTTCATAGGTGATTCTAGGCCCTGCCAACTTGACAGTCCATACAAACCGTTGCAGTCAGGTAGCCCATAGGCTTGCGAGTTTGAGTGGGAACAAATCTCTGTTTTATGGCTAGTGAGTTGTGTCTGGTGTGAGAATGTGTGTTCCACCACGGAAGGCCCCCTTGGAGTGGTTTGGACACAGACATGGTGCCCTCTACTCCCAGGCGACTCAGACTCTGGGTCCTGAGGGTGCAGCTGATGGCTGTGAAGCTTTTCACAGTCTCATTGGCTTCCTGTTCTCTCTCCCCATGTTCACCTCACTCAAGAGAAGACATCTGCCTTTCTCCGAGAGGTTCAGGTCAACCTCATTGACTTCAAGAAGTGCAATGACTACTCGGTCTATGACAGTTACCTTACCCCAAGGATGATGTGTGCCGGGGATCTTCGAGGAGGGAGGGACTCCTGCCAGGTGAGGTCCCTGTGGGTGGGGCTCAGGTCTCATGACCCTGGAGATGGGAGATGGCTGGAATGCTAAGATCGACATGGGAATCAGAGACCTATCTTTTCCTGATTTGGACCCCTCTTCTGCACCAGGCTGACTCACTCTCTGGCTCTTTCTTGCAGGGAGACAGTGGAGGACCTCTTGTCTGTGAGCAGAACAACCGCTGGTACCTGGCAGGCGTCACAAGCTGGGGCACAGGCTGTGGCCAGAGGAACAAACCTGGTGTGTACACCAAAGTGACAGAAGTCCTTCCCTGGATTTATAGCAAGATGGAGGTGAGAGGCATAGCCCAGGGGTTGAGCTTGGAGGAGGGTGGAGGGTATTCACCTGAGCCCTGTGTATTTGGGGATGTCTAAGACAGGGTTAGATGTCAGGCATGGGACGAGCCCAAGGTATCTGTTTTCCCTCCTTCCCTTCCATTGGAACAGAGCCCAGAGGTTTATAAAAGGGTAAACCTAGGCATGGCCCCAGCACCAATACTGTTCTCCTCTCCCATTGATAGCCAAAGGTATCCAAATTGGCCACTAGAGTGCGCTAGGGTGCTACCTTCCATGGCAGGAAGTTGACCATCAGGGAACATTGGTCTGCCCTGGCTCTGCTGGCTCTGCTCAGCCAGACCCTGCTTCCTTGCCAGTCTCCTGTCTATAACCATAAAGCCGGTGCTATGGCCAACCCTCCCCCATTCTTTGGGCAAGGGAAGATAATGCAGAATGCAGAGGGAAACTTCACCAGAACCGCCTGCCATGAAAGTGCTTCCCCTTTCTCCTAGAGAATGTGCCAGCTGGCATTCAGCTCTAGGGAATGGTGGGCCCTGGGTTTTCTAGCCCTTGGGCTTCTAAGTTTCATGCCCACCCTTAATCTGTTTTCCTGGTCTCTTCCTCAGAGTGAGGTACGCTTCCGGAAATCTTAACCTCACATGGCTGACTGCTATGAAGATCCTAAAGGGACCAGGCCATTCACAGCATGGGGACCAGGGGCCACCAGGCACCTTTGTCCCTACCGCCTCTGCTGTCTGCTGTCTCTGTGAGAGTGCAAATGTGGTGTGTGTGTGTGTGTGTGTGTGTGTGTGTGTGTGTGTGTGTGTGTTACTATTCTTTCAAGTTCTTCGGAAAACTTGACTCTTCCCAGAATCCCTGGCTGGAAATCTGGAGTTAGGAGTTTGGGCACCAGGTGTGTTCCTAAGAGTCTATAAGCGGAGGTGGAGCTAAATGGGAGCCCAGGAAGGGCCTGGAAGATGGCAGCAGCAGTTGTCACTCTTCTGACTCGTAGACCAGCCCAGACTGGACAGACACCCAGCAGCCAGTGACACCGTTGCTGTGCTGGGACAGCAGCAAATTTTGTCAGAGTCTGGCTTCTCAGTGCCTGGACCATCTGTCCTCGGTGGAAAGCCATTTCCATTGGCATTGGAGTGGCAGGTCCTCTAAGCCACTGCTGTGGATTCCAGAGCTGGGCTCTGCTGTGGCCGTCCATCTCTGGGTGATGACTGTGACTCAGGCTTGCTGTACTTTTGGTCACAAGCTGTTGGGATGATTTTATTTTATTTTTATATTTAAGATACAGAAACTGATGTAATTTTAAGGAGTCTCCAAAAATCCTAGGGACCTTGGAGGTTTTGCATGAACTCCAGGGGACTCACGGGAGTTGTACCTCTGTAGCATCTTGTAACATATTACTGGCTTCATGAAATTAGGTGAAGTGCCTCAGTGAAATCCTCAGGACAGACATCTCCAAGATGGTGTGGAGACTAGGGCCCTTTGAGATACTCAGGGAAGAAAATCCTCATTTGGACTGACAGATAAATGCAATTCATGCTGCTCTAGCCTCCAAGAACTACAGCCAGACAGAAGAACTGAAGATGTGTGTACTACCTGGCTTACCCTCCCAGGACCACTGGGAAAGTCTAGGCAAGCATCATCAACATCATTTATACCCAAGGGCAGAGCTGGGACTATGGGGTTTGTTTCTGGCTTCCTCCATCTTTCAGTTTTGTACCGACTCAAGAGTCCATGAAGAGAAAGCAAGAACTGTCCCCAGAACTGTTTTAACAGCCCTTCTGGAAGGCCCAAGTTGTCCCTAGTCCTGGTTTTTTGCCAGGCCTTTTCTCTTGGTCACCCATTTCTCCTCAGTTCCACTTCCTTTACCTTCCTTGGCCCGATCAGACCTCTTGTGATACTGAGTCTCAGGGGCAAGTTCAAGGAGACCAGACGAGCTCAGGACAGCTCAGATAAGCTGGAGGTAGCCAGGGGGATTGAGCGGCATTAGACAGGGCTGGAACATTAGAGAATATCTTCAGGGCTGGGAAGCGGGACAGCCTTCATGTCTGCAGAAGTTCCCAGCAATGAGCTTCAATAATAAAAGCGTGTGACATGAAGAAGTTGTTGGATGTTTCATTGATGACATGGGCAGAAAATCAAGGTGGCCTGCGCTCTGCCCCGGTGCCCAGGCCTCTCAGACATGCTTCTTGTTGAGTGTCTCACCTTTGGCTTCTGTTCAGCCAATTCCACATCTGTTGATTGATTCCTTCCCCAGTGATATCAGAGCTCAGTGATGCCAGGCACTCACGCTAAGCCCAGGCTATCCACAGAGTAGCTCAGCACCTTGTGTGATGGAAGTGACGAGTAAGGGTGGATACTATGCTTGGAACATGGACATATGAGCCACCAGCCCCATCTACAGAGGTCAGGAAAAGCCTGGCTGAGGAGAAGAGATTCAAAGTTTTAAAGAGTAGGTAAACATTCCTAAAGTAGGCACGGCATGGAGAGGGCACTCTAGGTCAGTCTTTCCCCCTCTTCCTCTGCCTTTATTAGCTCAGCAAGAAGCATGCTCGTAAGTCCCAGTGATTACCTACTTCTTTACCAGAGGGCTGGGTGGGTGACCTTTGGCCTCTTCTGCAAGATAAACCTCCATGCTGCACCCTCACATTTTTTAGCATTTACTACATTAACCTTAACAGCTAGGACTCCACTGATTGTCCAGCACCACTACCACACATGTGCGGGTCTGTGGCCACAGCCAGCATTTTCTCAGTCTACATGTGCCTGGCCTATGATACTTCTATTTAGTTTGTATCAGTGCCCAACAATCCCTCCTCTGGCTCTTTTCTTGCTTTGTCTGCACAGGAAGGTGGTGGGGGATGTGGGGGATGTGGGGGGTGTGGGGGATGTGGGGGATGTGTCTACTATTCCCGGTCACAGTATCATGACTTTAATGGTGCGTACAATTTCCATGGTTTAACTCAATCAGAGTCTAGGTCTCATCCATTAACAGTCCCCTGAGAGTGTTCCATCAGCTGGAGGCTTTCTTTCCTGTGGGGCTTCTAGGGCCTGTGTCTTTCCATTGTGTGACTGTCATGGCCATATTGTCTGCTTTTGGCCAAAAGGAAAACGTGTAGATGACGCACCCATTTCTTAAATGCCCGACTCAGATGTGATACATGTGAGCATATCACATGGTGCCACTGAAAGGCTGTGGGGCCAGGAATTATAGCCTTTGCCTCACACCCATAAGAGACGACAGCCAGGCATCTCTGTCCACCAGAGGAAGCTCGCTATGACTCTAGAAGCCAAAGCTGGGGCGGAGTAACAAGACTTTGGCCGCTTCTGTTCATCTTCACATAACCAGCTCTTTCCAGAGGATGTCAGACTTTTCAAATTATAAGCTGATTGGCAGGTAGGGAAGGGTATGGAAATAGTATAGGAAAAAAATCAGACTGCAAAGGAAATGGAAAATACATTTCTTTAGATGTCTCTAAAGGCTAAAAATCTTACAGAAAGCGGGTATTGGGATTTCCCAAACCAGTTCAGAATCTCTGGGGAGGTATTCAGTGGCGTTGTAAGGGGCAGATACAGGAATACTGTCCCAGGTTCCCAGATTCCAAACATCTCCACATAACACCAAACCCTTTGGTTTTGCCACCTCTCTTAGTGGCTGAGATTCCATGGAATTTCTCTGGCATGCAAATGAGAAACCCCTTGAGCTGTCAGGAGCAGGGCAGGTGATGGCTCTGTGGAGAGGAGCCACTTCCAGCTTGGCTGGTGATCTGGCTGCCTCTGGGGTTTGATTAGATTCCCAGGGGCCGTTGTTTCTCATAATTGCTCGCCTTTGTTCTGATGCAATTGGGAGAACATGAGGAGCTGCACATGCTCCTGGCAATGACAATGAGGAGGACAGGGACAATAATTCAGCATCTGCCTGTGTCAGATGCTGTGCTGAGCACCTGACATCCATTATTCCTGTAAGCCTGCACTTCCACAGGGCACACGTGGCAGCTACCCCCTACTCTGTAAACAAGGAGACAAAGGCTTGGCTGAGCGAAGTGCACCCCCCAACCACACGGCACTCCAGGGCCAGAGCTGGACTTTGAATCCTGAGTCCGAACTGAATCCTGTTTGTCTGCACTCTTCACACCGCAAATTCCCAAAGCCAGGGGAAGCCCCTCCTACTTGTGACTTCAGTAGGGCCTGCCATCTGGCTCTGTGTATCTTTCCAGGATAGGAGGCTTGGAACAACTCCCCAGAGATAGCTGGGCACAACCCTTGGAGTGTCACATGACGACTTGGCAATTTCCAGAACCTGGCGGAGGCCCCTCCCTCACCTGCAAATGGATGGTTTCCAGGAAGCCCTCTCAAGCCATGACAAAGCTGTACGCCTCCATGTCTCCTTGATCTGGGTCAACAACTTTAAAAGGCACATGCCATTCATTCCCTATCTCCTCTGCACTGGTCCTCACTTCCTGTCATTTGGAAAAGCTGAGCTCAGTCCAGGCAGTAAACAACATCGCGATCTTACAGCACATCTACCCGGAGAATGGGAAGGGCTGTATACCAGAGGACTGGTCCTGGAACACCCAGAAAGAAAGCTTTGTTAAAGAAGACCTCCCAGAAAGGTGAAGGCCTGACCCGATCTTTGATTCTTTCCAGTTCAGCTCCTTCTCTAATCAAGTCTGAGTCTCAGAGGTGGAGGCCACACCTGCGCCCAGAGGAGCTCCTCCTATGTACACTGTTGTAGTAGAGAGGGCTTGGACCTGGAGTACCTGGAGATACGAATTCCAGCTCTGCCACTCACTTAGCTAGGTGATCCTGGGCAAGCCAATCCCTCTATTTCCTCATATGTATAGTGTGTGTGTGTATCTCTCCCACGTGCTGTAAAATTAAATGGGATGGATGGTAGACATAAACAAGTGTCACAAAGAGATTATCCAGTTCCTTCGTCTCTGTATCACTTCGCCAAACAAACAAGAGAGGGCAGGTGAACCAATCTTTAAGTTCTAGTGAATTTATCGTTGCTCTGTGTAAACTTTCCCCTAGTTTTTGAGCCCTGGACTCATCTTCCAGGAAGGGAAACTATTACCTAGGGCAGGTGAATAGCCAGCTGGCCATTTCTCTAAGCCGCAAACCCCAAGTTGAGTTCGTCTGTTCCTCTTGTCAACGATGGGCTAGTTGCCTGTCCATGGAAGAATTCTCCTCTAGAACTCAGTATCTTGTCCAGTGGCCTCTGACTCTTCAGCAAATGGAGTTGGCAAGTTCAGAGCGGTGAGGGTCACATGTCCTTAAGCCTCATCCTCTCTCCACAGCCACCTGCCCATGCCCTACCACAGTGATGAATGCCTGGGTTGTCACAGCCAGTAGAAACTTATAAGTTCCCATCTTACTGGGATCTCTGTGGCTTTTAACTGTTGAGCACTCCCTTCCCCCTCACCCCCCCCCCCCGCCTTGACAAAAATCACCTCAGCTATAAAATATCACCAGCTCTCTCCCTTCCTTCTCTAGGCCTCTGGCTGACTTTTCTCAGTGATCCATAAGCTCTGTGAGAGTGTTGCCAGGAGACCAACCCAGGCTCTCTTGTCTTCTGTGGTACATGATTATGTTGGCTATTTCTCTTCTCATGGTGGCAAAATACTCCATAGAGGCAGCAGAAGAGTATATTCTGGTTCATGATTTTAGGGATTTTATTCCCTCCTTATGGAGAAGACACAGTGGACCAAGGTTGCAGAGTGGCTTGTTACATCTTGGCAGTAGACTGGAAACAAAGAGCATTCTGTCAGAACCCGGTGTTATCTACTCCCCAAACCCTGCCTCTAGTAACATCCACCCAACACCAGATTCATTT